AGTTGCTAGACCACACTGGCTGCAAAAGAATTTTTGCTGCCGCTAGGGTGCGTTTAGATTTCTAGGCTAATAAACAAGTAAAAATTTCAAATAACATGTTTTCTGTTTAAGAATGTAAGATGCAGGACAGTGGAATGGGAAAAAAATGCAAGGTCTTTCTTGAGGCATGTTTAAACTAAATTGAGCACTGCCGTTTTTAGAACGCTGTGTCACGAGATGCGAGAACATCCATCTAGGGCATGTTTAAAATCATGAAAAGCAGTGCAGAGGAATGCAAAGATGCATTCTGTGTGAACATCCCCTTAAGAAGCAGCCTGTTTAAATGTAAGGCTCAAAAAGAGAGTAGAACATGGTCACAAAACAAAATTGTGAAACTATATAGGTCCCGGAAATATTATAAGTGGACTTCAGGGAAAAATATTAATATGTAATTCTTGTTCTCTTTTATATTCACTTTTTTATATTCTGAATAAGCATACATGTTTTGGTGATTCTAAATGTTCTTGTCATCACTATCTGACCAGGTAATCAAACGAAACATAACAGCCGTTTGGGTGGCAAGCACTGCATGGTCTCTGAACGATGGTGTATCCACCCTGCCCGGCATCAATTCAATAGGCACAGTGCTGGCGTTTGCAGACATCACCAAACCTATTGACCTCTTCACTCCCTATATCCGTGAGCTCTTCAAAAAAATGGAGGAGACACAAATCCCCCAGGAGCCTGATACAGAAATCTCCCCTCTGGACAACCCTTGCCCAAGCTGCAGCTCCCTAAACCAAGCCAACGTGAGCATGGTAGAGGTAAAACTTGTGCAGTGGACAGTTTTCAGTGTGTATACTGCCATCTACTGTGTTGCATACGCGCTGCATGACTTGCTTGGATGTAATGCCACCCGCTGTGCTCTAAATCCCAAGACTGACAAAGTCTATCCATGGCAGGTAATCACACACAAACATTTCTTTCAGTAAATCTGCTTGTTTTAGCCTACAAGATTAAGGGTGTACTAATAGAACAGTATATGACAGTATATGATCTTTCCTACAGCTGTTAAAGAAACTACAAAAAGTTTCTGTAGATCTAGAGGGAGTCCATTTTAAGTTTGATAAAGAGGGTAATCCAAACTTTGGATACGATGTTATGCAATGGATCTTTAATGGCACCACTGTGAGCTTTGATGGAATTGGATACTTTTATCAGAACCTCACAATTGATAAAGAAGATATAAAATGGCACACGAAAAACGGAAAGGTACGAATGGGACAAATATTTGTATTGTAATTTAAATTGCTTCATATAACTTGTTTTACTACCAGTCAATAGTTTTGACACACTTTCTCATGATCTTAAATGCTTACAATTAGTTTTATAGACTAATAATATATAAAGCTTAATTAATAATATATAATTCTTAATAATATATAATGTGAATTTCTTTAAAATGTTTTTGAAACATTTTACTGTTATTTTAACCATTATTCTAAAATATGTAAAATTGTAATAATAGAGAATGAGTAGGTGTGTCCAAACTTGTGACTGGTTCTAGTATACATCACAGAGCCTGCACCTCTTGACAAATGGTCTCTGTAACAGGTGCCAATGTCCACTTGCTCCTCAGACTGTGGGATAGGACAAGTGCGCAGAGTTAAAGGCTTTCACTCCTGCTGTTTCGACTGCATTGACTGTAAGGAGGGAACGTTCCTAAACAGCACAGGTGCGCGACTACTAGGGTCTGAAATGAACTTTTCCATTAAGGGCCAATATTTGCCCACATTTTTAAGGATGTTTAACGCTGCTTTATTCTGTTCAAATGTGGAATAATCCCATAATGTTATGAGATAAGAGAAATTTTAAATATCCTACATAAATTATACAATTAAAAAACAGGAACTAAATGTAGCTAATTCCCTTAATGCATTTTTGCCCCTAGCCCATTAATTTCTGACCCTGTTTTCAAGTCATTCTAAACAATCCTAATAGGGCTGTTAATATTTGCTCTGAACATACTTGCTTTATCAAACATGCCTGTAGCGAATAGAAAATGCATGCATGAACTCTTTGTCATTTGATGTTGACTGACCTTATTCTGCCTTCTCTTTTCATTTGAAGATGACATCCAGTGTAGATCATGTCCCAATGGCCAGTGGTCCACTCTACGAAGCACAAGCTGTGTCTATCCCATCTATACTTACCTGGCCTGGAGCAACTATGAGTCAATTGGACTCATTCTGGGAGGAATGTTGGTGCTAGCATTACATGTATTGGTAGGGGTTGTATTTTTCAAGCACAGACGAACTCCACTGGTGAAAACTGCAGGTGGACCGTTGAGTGGCCTTGCTCTGTTGAGCCTAGCGGGAGAATGTATAAGCCTGGTGCTGTTCCTGGGTCAGCCGGGAGATGTCGTGTGCCGTCTGCAGCAGCCACTAAACGCCTTTTTTCCCACTGTGGCCCTCTCTGTCATTCTGACCATTTCCCTTCAGGTGATCTTTAGAAAAAACAAATAAAAAAGCCATTTTCATTTAATAAAATTAAATAAATAATAAAAAAATTATGCAATAACATGTAATTGCAATATTGATACAATTTAAATGTACTTCATCTGTACTTCACAATGCACAATTGTGTGATAAGTCATCACTTGAGGTTCAGTGTAACATCTGAGTCCTGAAATAAAACCAAATAGAAACACTGTATTACAACAAGAAATGCACACAAAAAACAATATAACAATCTAATGCCATCTTTTACTTACCAGATTGTGTGCGTCACAGAGTTCCCTGAAAAGTCTCCCGATCACCTGGAGAACCTACGAGGACGAGGAAGCTGGTTTGTGATTCTGGGATGTTGCGGGCTCCAAGCGGGACTGTGCGGTTGGTACGCCCGAGAAGGTCCCTCCCTGACCCAATACGTGGCCAGTTTGGAGGTGAACTATGTGAAAACTTTTCTGCGTTGCCCAGTGGAGCCCATGTTAAACTTCGGCTTGATGCTCGGATTCAATGTTCTTCTGGCACTGATGTCATTTATGTCCACCTTCATGGCTCTAAAGCCGCCAGGACAGTATAACCTGGCCAGAGATGTCACCATCTCCACCTTGATTTACTGTGTAATGTGGGTGATGTTCATCCCCATCTACACAAGTCTAAACGATAAAGAGAAGTCTATTGCTCAAGTAGGAGTAAGTTTACTTAGTAACATTGGGCTGGTAACTGCCTATTTTTTCCCTAAATGCCACCTGTTGGTCAAACACCCAGAACTCAACACAGACGATCACTTTCGTACGTTTTTAGAAGGGGTCCCACCAGCACCACCTGAAGAAAGCTAAACACAATTGCTAAATTATTAACATTATTATTGGGCTCTATGGTATACCTGATTACGATTGGTCAATCGCTGTAGTTTGTGGTCAAATATTTTTGTATAATGATCCTTATGATCCCTTTCTTTCTTAGTTTTCACTTAAAACATTTCGACATCAATCAATATTTTAATTTATCTGGTAAGCAGTACACAGTCATCTGCTATAATAATAGCATTATGTTTTATTTTATATATGTATGTATATATATATATATATATATATGTATACGTATATATAATACTGGACTTTCAATTTTGCAATACAATGACTTTTAATAAAATAAATGGAAAATAATTATTGTCAAATAGTTCAGATTATTTGTTATTTCTTGTATGACTAATGATCCTTTCAAATGCTTCTTTTGAATTAAAAACAAAAAATAAATAAATCCGAAACGAAAGTCTCTTCCTTTCATTGGTCTAGTGTTTGTGAGAAACAGCGCCCTCTGTAGATCGTTTTTCCTTAGAGACAGTTGCTAACAACTTTGTCCAAAGAGGAGGAAGACATGTCAAATAAAACCACCTGAAGAGTGATAACAGTACAAGGTAAAATAAGACTTTATTTAGCTCAACATATTTTACTGTTATCAGAGGCAGTGATCACTATTAAAATAAAGCTGTATGTAAAACCTAATTAGCATTATTTAAAAATGTGATATTTTTTATCAAAGCTTGACTAAGTTTAGTCGTAGGCTACGTTCTCTTCTTGATTAGCTAACGTTACATTGCATCATCATTGTGTCAGATTAATATAATTTTAATTAATTCATAAATATAAATGTTAAAACATTGTTAAGGGGGGGCAGTTTATGGTTGTCTGTCCGAGTGGAAACATTTAGTAAACAAATAAATACTGCGGTAACGTTACTCCAAAGTACCATGGTATTACCAAAGTACAAGCCCAAAAGCGTGGTGATACTGGTGATTTCAGTTAGTAAACAACACAGCAGTATAATTTTATACACTATTACACTGCTGTGTTGTGTTAGAAACGATGCATAGTCACTCACATAAGTATTGAGGGGAAAATCAGACGTAACCATCGCGTTCACCGTCGAATATTCGTCTTTTTCGTTGTCCTCTTCTTCATCTTTGTTCAGGTATTCATCCATAAACTCTTCATTCGTTTTTTAAAAAAAATATACAGTATACTTCCATTTTTCATTTCTTGAAAGGCCTCTGGATATTTGTTTTTGACGAATTGATTGCTAACGTTACTCGCGCCAGAGGCTGTGCGCATGTCCGGATTATGACCCGTTGCTATCACGTTTTTGGGCAAATTAAATAATTTTACTATATCAATTAATCAAATCTTTAATGTTCCAAACATGATGATAAATGTTCTACATGTACTTTTAACATAATATATACACCATATTATTTTATATTATCTGTATAATAAATAATGTAAATACCGGTAATAATGTAATATAATTTTCTATGTAAACAATTTTATATGCACCAAGTATTTTAAAGGGTTTTGGAGAGTTTAGTTGTTAAGTTGCTGGCAAAAAATAAATACTTTTTTTTTTTACAAATCAGAAAAGAAATTGGTGACCTTGGAGTTTTTTTGTTACTTAAGATTTGTCTTTATTATTTATAATTCAAAGCTTTGTTTTGTTCTGCACTGTTGTTACCCCAGTGTTTTGTGACTATAGTCATCATCATCATCATCAGCATGCCTCGTGGAAGATCAGCAACCAGTGCCCTCTCTGACAGCAGTGACTTGGAATTTGATGGAATTGGTATGCAAATGAAACATTGTTATTGATAATTAAGATGAACAGATGAATGTTCTTATGCAACCAGCTGTTTGTGTCCAGCTGAGACAGAGATTGAAAAACTGCAGAGACAGTTTCGTATAACGGAGGGGGATCGGCAGGCCTACAGCATCCAGTCACAGGAAAAAATTCGCAAACAGCGGTCAGTGCCATAAAACACCTTCAGGAGTTATCATACATAAAGTAAATATTATATTTATTCTAAAAATTGTGCAAAAAAAACTGCATTCTTTTTCTCTTAGGAGTAGGGTTAGGATTTGTCATTAGAAGCCTATCTAATGTCCTCATGATGTTTTACCCCGCAATGTTGCATTATGTACATGTATTGCATTGTGTCTTGTATGGAATGTGTGTGTTTGAGCATATTTAGTTTGTTGTGTGTGCGTGTTTGTCCGCAGCCAGGAGATTTCTAAGCTGCGTGAGGAACAGGAGGAGTTGCTTCGTGTGCTCGAGTGCCAATCGCATAGAAAGAACGACAATCAGGACACTGAGAGTATCCAAACTCTGCTGGAGCAACGAAACACGCTGGAGGATCAACTAGACAATGAGAGACAGACCCAAACACAGATGGAACAGGAGGTGCATATATGTCTAATTATTAAACTTTGTCACATAAAACACTGTTGGTGCTACAGATGTTTATTTGCATGCATTCTGTTTACAGATCATGAATATGGAGAAAAGGCTGGTGGAAGTGAAAAGAGGAGAGGTTATGGCTTCCCAGAGTCACATGTCTCAGGCCCGCCAGACTCAGAAGGCCACACGCACCCTGGAGAACAAACTGGACCGGGTAAACAGAGAATCAAACGTTTCACAGCATGCAGTTTTACTGACCACACAATTGTGGGCCCTTTACATGTAAATCAGTGTAGATTTAAGTGGCTTTTTTTTGGGGCCAAAATAAAGTGCAGACTGGACCAGACAGTGGCAAAACATTTGGCCATACAAAACTGTTAATTTGTTCCTTAGATAATGCTGAACTGGTGTGAGTAGCTACGTTTATATGAAAACAAATAATACCTTAGTAACAGGATCAATGACTCGATCGGACTGAAAGCCCTTAATTTAATCACCTCAATCGATCCATTTAAAATTTCGATTGGATTGGAAGGTGTGGTAAAGACATGAAATAATCCAATCAAATTTTTGGGGTGCTGAAGAGGCTGACATCATGTTGACAACATGAATCTAATGCAGAATATTGATGGTCAAAAATATAGAAAAATGAGATTTTAAAATCCTTAGTAATACGTCCATAGTAATTTGTTTTGCATTTGACGTAAGTAGATTGAAACAGTGGCCAGAAATACACCTACTATATGCGAGTTCATCGTTTGTGCTGTGCATTGGTGTATGTGAATAATGGCGGTAAAAATAACCACAATTCTTAGCAAATAATCAGAATAATGAAAATTGCAAATGAAAAGGGAAGAGGTTTGCTTGTGTCATGTAAACATCTTACTGCGTTAGCGAAGTCCTTACTCTAATGATTGAAAATAATCACATTATTGGTACATATATAAACATAGTCATAGACCTTAGTCAGGGGGACACCATATTGAATTTAACACGGATGAAAATGAGGCAGCGCAAATTGGTGTCTGGTTTAAGACATGCTTTTTTGGGTGGTAAATAATGGCTCAAATATCAGTAAATTTACGCGCAAACCTTATTAAATCACCTTGCATGATTCATTTAAATACTCTCCTCCCATAAATACTGGCCTGGGTCTGAAATAATGCAATAATGTCAGCCGCAGAAATAACCCTGTCCACGCCTTTTCTGACAGTAGTTTTTTAACGCCAAAAGAGGCTTTGCACTGGCGAAAGAAAGCTGTTAGTAAATCTGGCCCCTAGTGTGTGTGTGGATGAACTTCTCCTTAAAAATGTTTCCCTTGTTGTCCCTGCAGGCTCTTATTCGGTTTAACGAACAGCTGACGAAGAACAGCCAGTTCAGAGAAGAGCTCGAGACACTCCGCATGGAACGCGTCCGATTCCAGCAGCTGCATCGCAGACTGGAGAAGGTTGGGTATTCTGGGTGTTTAATGAGTTTGAAGGATGCAGTGATTGAACACAGTTCAAACAAGTGCTGTTGTCTTTCTTTCAGGTATTGCAAGATGTTCGTAAGGATATTGGTGAAGTTATCGACATGTCAACCTCAGCTTATGATGTGAGGTAAGAGAGATACTTTGAGATTTTAAGTATTGCTTCGCTTATATACAAAGTTCCCAAAATACTGAAAAACTTCACGAAAAAATCTATTTTAGTTTTTCATTTATATCCAGTAATTGTTGTGCTTCTATTTCAATTTATAAGGCAACATTTCTAATTATTTCAGCTTTTAAACATTTTTCAAATAGTTTTAGTTTTAGTTTTTAATCTACGATAAATAACCCTGCCTCCAATATAAACAAAAGTCATAAATGAAATAATATTGGTTAATGTTATTCTTACCCTCTCTTAAATGCAAAAGGTTTCCCAACCACTTTTAACATTGAAAAATTGGACACCTCAATTGTGATAAAGAGTTATCATTTTGTATGGTATTACACATTCCTCCACCCTCAATACGTGTTTTGGACATTTGTAGCCGGTTCTATTTATATGTGTATATTTAAGAGAGGAGGCACAGACCAAAATTACCATGATGAAGGAGAAGGCGATAAAGGATTTTGCGCAGTACTCAGCTGAGATGAAGGAGCTGGAGAGAGTCATCGCTCATGAACGCCGACTCAAAGAGTTCATGACCACCAAGAGTAATGAGAGAACCGCCTTGGATGATGGACAGGAAATGAGACGCAGACAAGGTCAGAGGGCGATATTTGTAACCAAGAATTGTTGTTGGTTAAATTGTGTGCTCTACCATTCAGAAGTTTGGGATCAGTAAGATCCAAAAAAAGTTCTGTCATGAAACTCTAGATGGCGCAGGCTGATAGGTCCTTGACTCTGCTTGCAATCGCATCATTATCTATTGGGCACAGCTGATAGGTTCCTGCTGTATCAGTAGCCAATGAGCTCGCTGCTCAGCCTTCAAATACTTGGTCAGCATTTGCTGTAGCAGTTGCAGTGCGCTTTCAGAAACCCTCCACCTTCCCCAGCTCCACCTGTATAGATCAGCTATGGCTAATGAATGTATACTCAACATGGCATCATGACTTTGCGTAAACATACACGCCACTTTCAAGTCAAGTGGCGTGTTATCTATACGCATTTTGAGCTATCCGCGTGTATGTCCACGCCGAAACGAACCATCATCTTTTGCGTGTATGTCTACGCCGTTAAATGTCCGAGTGATTCCGCGTGTATGTGTACGCCGTTAAATGTCCGAGTGATTCCGCGTGTATGTACACGCCGTTAAATGTCCGAGCGAAACGAAGCAAAATGTAGATCTACTTCTGGGGAGCGATATTTTTTTTCCTAGGATGGTAGGGGAACACTCATAAATGGTATTAACCCCAGTGACGGGTAGGTCTAGGGACGGGGTTGGGGTCATATATTTATATATACAGTAATGTAACGTTAAGTCAACGGCGTAGATAAACACGCTGAAAAGCGATTATGCGTGTTGATAGCACGCCAAAAATGGAAATACGAATTGGCGTGTCATACATACGCCATTTCATGAGATCAGTCTGGTATACTGTTTTGTACAGCAGCAGCAGTGTGGCAGACCATATGGATTTCCATGCCAAACACATATTTGTCATGAGATATTTTAATTTAATGCATCTTTGCTGATTAAAAATATAATTGACTTTAATTGAATATAATTGACTTATGAATATAATTGACTTTAATTGAATATAATTGACTTTTTAAAAAATCTTGCTGATCCCAAACTTTTTTATACTCTATAACAGACTGATTGATTAATTGATTATAAATCCAGCCATTTTTTTGGCTGAAAAGTAAACCCTGTGTGCTGATGGCAGAGATGAAGGAGCAGAGGAGGGCAGACGCCGGAGAGGAGACATTTGACACTCTGGAGGAGGTTTTCCAGCGGATCAAGAGATTGACTGGGGAAGATAATTTGAAGATGTTGGTTACAAATTTCATTCAGGGTGAGCTTTATGTTTTCTGTTTTGTGCCAACAAATGATTGCAATGTGTAATGAGGCTACAACTCTTTATGCTTTTTAACAGTTGAGGACAAGAACTTTGCTCTTTTCAACTTTGTGAATGAACAGAACATAGAAGCTGAGAGACTGAGAGAGCAAATCCATCAGGTCAGTGTGTGTGAATCACAGAACTAGTCAAATAAAGACCCAAAACATAAATATTGTTCGCAAGATGAACTGATCATTTAATATAAATACATGATTGAGGAAGGATAGTTTAGTCCCCTCCCCTTTTTGTGAGATAATGATTTAAGTTTCATTAGGTTTGTTTCGCTAAGCAGCTGTGCAAAGGCAAAAAAAAAAGTTTTGTCAAATTACTTTTGTTATTTTAGTATTATTTATTTACTATTATAGTATTATTTATATTATATAGTATAGTATTTATACTATAATATTCTATGTTTTAGTGAAGTTTCTGATGTGATTTTGTCATTTTTATTATATTTGTTTTTTTTCTGTTTAGCTTTATTTTCTTTTTATTTCACATAAAACATTTCTAATTGAAGTTTTTTTTAAGTTTTTGTTTTTCGTCTAATATTTATTTTCATTAATTAATTTTAAGCTTTATTTCACTTAATGAAAACAATTTTAACAGTTTTAGTTTTGGTTAATAAGAACAACACTGAAAACACTTAAAGACCAAACAAAAGTCTGTGCCAACCTGGGCTAAATGAACATGCAACATGCATAATGTTATTCATATTCACATTTTAATACAGACACAACAGTAGGAATCCATTTTTTGTGTTGATTCTGTTCCAGATTGGAGAAGAGATGAAGCAGTTGCACATGAAAGGTGTCCAAAAGGAACAGGAAAATCAGGTGGCGTTAAAAGAGTCGATGGATCTACAGCAAGAGTGTGAGACACAAGCTCAACAGTATGAAGCCCAGGCCGATGACATCAGCAAGATCCTTCATCAGATCAAAACCGGTACTAGTAAAATCACCCAAACATGCGTTAACATAACCACGTGGATAAACCCTAGAAGAATAAAAAATGATAACATTGTCACGTTATCGTCTTAGAAGAAGAATGATACTTACGTTTTTATACACAAAAGCTTATGTTGATGTCCTTCTAGGGACAGACCGTGTGTTCAATAAGATTGACTGCGACCGGACACTGGTGGTAGACATGCTGGGCTCTTCCTCTGGGATCAGAGACAGTAACATCATGACGTACCTCAGCCTGGTGGAGCAGAGAACCAGTGAACTGCTCACCATTCAAGCCTTCATTAATTCTAAGGTACAGAAAAGACCAGAATGTACCAACAGGTTATTTCATAGGCAGTGTCCGAAATCACCCATATAGCCTTAAATAGAGCACTATTTGAGTGGACATTTGGAGTGCACTCATTCAATCCCACAATGGACCGTGATAACGAGTGTACAACAGATGTATGCTCATGGCTAGAGAATAGAATACCCATGATGCACTGTGAATTCCTGTGTCTGACCAGAAGATGGCGCAGCAACTGAATCATCCATCAATTTTCCAAACTGCTGGTCCAATGTGGATACAGAGTAATGTCATACAGGTTTAAATTCCTTTTTAAACGATTATTAAATTGTTTAATTAAGGTTTATACATGACAGAGTTCAAGATAAATCTTTTCATCTTATTATTAGAGCTGCCAGTTTGCTAAGTGTTAAATGACTATTAAACATCAAGCACAAACGATGCAAAACGGCAGCCCTTCCGGCGAATTCACTCTCGTTTCTATTCACTTCTTTAAGTGGACTATATTAGTGGAGTGATGTAGGGAATAGTGAATGAGGGTATAGGGGGTGATTTTAGACAGTGTTAAAGCAATTTTGTGCTGTTTTAACAACATTAAACAAGCAATACAAAGCTGTGCGTTAGAGTGGTTTTACTATGGTAAAAAAAAAACGCATTTCTGGTAAAATACAATTAGATTACCACCTAAAATAATTTCGACTTGTTCCTCAGTAAAAACAGTGTAGAATACTCTTAAAATAGTCTAAAGGGCATCCATTGTACTCTTAACTTGTATTATTATCAGTTATTGGTGCTTAATTATTAATACTGGTTTTTAATAATTGTTTTTCATGATTACATTTTTTTGTAGAAACCATGATACATTGTTTTCAGGATTCTTTGATGAATAGAAGGATCAATGAAAAGCATTCATTTGAAATAGAAATGTAAAGCGTTATTGCTCAATAAAAGTATTAATTTCTTCTTTTTTTTTATCTCACTTAGGCCCAAACTTTTGAATGGTAGTCTTACGGTTTCTACAAAAATATTTAACATTGTTTTCAACATTGAGAACAATCAGAAATGTTTCTTGAGCAGCAAATCAGTATATTAGAATGATTTCTGAAGTGACACTGAAGACTGGAGTAATTATGCTGAAAATTCAGCTTTGATCACATTAATAAATTACTTTTTAAAAATGTAAAATAGAAAACAGTGCTTTTAAATTGTAATAATATTTAACTGTTTTTTTACTGTATTTTTGATCAAATAAATGCATCCTTGATGAGTATAAAAGACTCCTTTCAAAAACATTTTTAAAAAATCGTACTTATTCTGAACTGCTGACCAGTAGTGTAACTGTAATGTAAATAAATAGGACCTGGAGAAGAGTTACGACCTGAAAGAGGTCGCTCAGTTCCTGCTGGGTCAGAAACCAGATGTGCTGAGACACGCAGAGATCGTTCAGCCGCCCATTACCAGGTGAGAGAAGCTCCTCATACAGTATGTTGAGCTATAGACACAGATAAAACAAAAGTACACATATGTGGAAATAATGACTTTATTTTGTTAATACATGCTCCTGGTCTTATTGTGCACGATTCAGGCATGATTATGAGGCTGAGGACTCTTCTCTCACAGATGAGGAGGATCGACCTTTGACCCACAAAGAACTCCATCAGCATGTTATGATGAGCAGTGTAAGGCATAGCTCTTTCCCATTCTGATTTATTCATTAACTATGGTTTGCATTACAGTTACATTGTGTTTGTGTGTTTTCTGTCACAGGTCGTGCGTAAAGACGAGTCTCTGCGTGCAGGAGGAGGCAGAGATGTGAAAACCCCTAAGAGCAGCACCATGTCTAGCAGCAGACAGCGCTCGCTGGAGCCTTAAGACACTATCTGGTCTTCTAATAAAAAAAGTTGAAAATTATATATATAGGCTATAATTCTTTTTCAGCTCCATTCAAACATGCTTAATAGCTATCTAGCTAGATTATACCTAGGTCATTCATTCTATCATTATTTACTCATTAACCCGTATGCTGTTCTATGGAACAAATGTTAAGAGTTTGGAATGACATGAGGGTGAGTAAATAATTACAGAATTGTCATTTGATGAACAGTTCCTAATAACAAACAGAAGAGGGCAGAATTTAGCCAAAGTTAGTGAGTCAGTTCGATCATAGAACTCCCACAATGCTCTCATGTCTGTCATGTTTACAGTATATTTGAATAAATCAACATATTTTTTCCCCCAGTATTAAATTTTTGTTTTGTTAAATAACGCATCAAGTGGTCACATGCTTTTGTGTTTCCCATGTTCCTATTTAAGAGTGACGGCAATAAAAGTTTGGCAAAACAACAATTTCCAGGTATTGTTTTAAACTTTTATCAGACATCAGATCATTTTAGCAAATCTATTTTGGAGACTATTTATCTCAATTACTATATTATGACAGATTGGGCATTATTTCAGCAATAAGGTGCTTGAGGTCATGTTATATATAGTCAAAGGTGCTTTTGGACACAACAACCAGGAGTTTTTAACCCTTTAAACCATAAGTACATATAAGTGCCATATTCTAAGCACTTTGAAAGGAATGCTATTGACCAATCAGCATCAAAGACTGGAAATATCTGATTTGTAGTCTTTAATTTAAAAAAAAAAAAAATCAACATTTTAAATATTACAATTCTTTACTTTACATTTTAATCGTTAATTTTAGAAGCAGGGAATACTGGAGGGTATGAAGATGTCATCGGCCACCACCACACACACATACTATTTCATTATGCATATTTGTTGTGCTCATTCTTTACTCGGTATTTAATGAATCTTGTTGTATTTTGATTGGGGATAAAAAGGAATATAAACCCTTGAAGTATTTGTGTCTGTTTTGATGCCAGTGTGGCTTTAAATACGCTCTCTTCCTCATTCTGTGAACACACACTCGCACAGATAACGCACCAGACGCAACTCAAGATGGAAGTTTAGGTGCTTTGAAATTCGACCCCTTTATAACCCCCACCATTTGCTGCAAAATGTTTTGTGCACACGGCCCACCGGGTTACCATGGCGACCCCCCCTTATCATTTCCTCATACTAGCAACGGCTCGTTCTCGCCATAGTTCTCGCCCACACTGCAAAACAAGCAGCCAATCAGAGAACAAGCTGACACAAAGAGAAACACTGACTACTACCAGGGTTGCCAAGTCCGCTGTTTTCCCGCGAAATTGAGCCACTTTTCTAAACTGTTGCCGCTGGTAAAAGGGCTATTTTTGTAACGCAGACCTGGCGACCCTGACTACTACAACTTAGCCATTTACTATCACTTCTTATCTCATCCTTCCTCTGCTCTTTTTTCTTCCCAGGATGTATTTATGTTCCTTCCTGTCTATCTTACTTATTAATGTATTTTTAGTGTTTGCAAACGCAATTCAACTTTGGTACATTACTGGTCCTGCGCTGCTTGTTTTACAGACATAAATTATCAAATTGTAAAGCTTTTTGAGGAAAGGTTAGAAGTGGTTAGAGTAGACTCTAATCAGACTAGAAGTGGGAAACGTAGTTTAAACCATGTTGTTTGTTTGTTTGTTTTTAATGTTTATATGTGATTTCTTGCTGACTGTGAATAATTGTCTTATTGGCTTATTGCTTTCAAACTATGTGCACTATACAAAAGGTTGCACTCAAACACACCAGACGCGTTCACCGTTATCTTCACCACCCAAACTGACCCATATCCTGTTCATTTTTCTCTGTCTATATCTTTACTCTCCAGCCCTCGTAAACACATCCTGTTAGTCACACACTCCTTTTTTATCAAAAGTTTTTCATTCTTGTCTGGTTTTTGATGTATCACATGTGTTATTCTAAAGTGACATCTACCAAACAACTGGATTTTTGCATTTTTTCAAATGGTGGTCACTAGTTGCTTTGCATTGCTGTGCCGTTGCTAGGGTGTTGCTATACAGATGCCAAGCTCTTCTAAATGGTTTTTAGTGTGTTGCTATTCCGTTGCTAGTGGGTTCTAAGTGGTTTCTAGAGTGTTGCTATGCAGATGCTATAAGCTCTTCTTGTTTAGTTTTTTTTGTGTTTTGCTATAGGCTGTTCCCATGCAGATGCTAATCTTCTCTTCTGAGGGGCTTTTCATGCGTTTCTATGTCGTTACTAAGGTGTTGCTATACAGATGCCAGGCTCTTCTGAGTGGTTTTTAGTGTGTTGCTATTCCGTTGCTAGTGGGTTCTAAGTGGTTTCTTTCTAGAGTGTTGCTATGCAGATGCTAAGCTCTTGTTGTTGTTTTTTGTGTGTTGCTATGTCATTACTATAGGCTGTTCCCATGCAGATGCTATTCTTCTCTTCTGAGGGGCTTTTCGTGCGTTTCTATGTCGTTACTAAGGTGTTGCTATGCAGATGCCAAGCTCTTCTAAATGGTTTTTAGTGTGCTGCTATTCCGTTGCTAGTGGGTTCTAAGTGGTTTCTAGAGTGTTGCTATGCAGATGCTAAGCTCTTCTTGTTGTTTTTTGTGTGTTGCTATGTCATTACTATAGGCTGTTCCCATGCAGATGCTAATCTTCTCTTCTGAGGGGCTTTTCATGCGTTGCTATGACGTTACTAAGGTGTTGCTATACATATGCCAGGCTCTTCTGAGTGGTTTTTAGTGTGTTGCTATTCTGTTTCTAGTGGGTTCTAAGTGGTTTCTAGAGTGGTTTTTGAGTGGTTGCTAAGGCGTGGTTTCCCGAAGAGGGGAAAAAATCAATCTGCAAATTTCCAAAACTATGTTCACTTTAATGGACATACAAAAAGATGAATAAACAAAGTTTAACATTTTAAATCTACCCCTAGATATGAATAGTAATACTGATAATTCATTAATAAACACCATGAGACTCTAGACCCCAGGTTTTTGATTGAGTTCTAAAACTAAAACCATATTCACTGAATACACTAAAGTTATAAACTTTATGAGGGTGCAATTATAGGTTACTTCCTTGTGGTATGTTCCTGAAGGCTGCGTTCTTTGCCGCCATATCTTATTATGACTTATATTCATGTACTCTACTCTCTTTACACCTTTATAAGGTCTCCTCTCTCTCTCTCTCTCTCTCTCTCTCTCTCTCTCTCTCTCTCTCTCTCTCTCTCTCTCTCTCTCTCTCTCTCTCTCTCTCTCTCTCTCTCTCTCTCTCTGTTTATTTTTCTTGGCAGAATTCCAAGTATTTTCTTCCTTCTCTCCATCCACAAATTGCATTCCCAGAGGCCCTCCCCCGATTCTGATTGTGTTGTTAGGCAACCTGAGATCTTGTGCTGACCTGACCAATCAGGAGCTTTGTTTGTTTTTAAATGTGAGGGTTTTTTTTTATTCTAGTTCTAAAAAAACGTTTGCTTTTGCACCTATTTTTAGAACCTTTAGGACTGTGATGAAACATTAAATGCCATCTTACAACGTGATTAAGGCAGAACTACTGTGATTGTGTTAATGTGGTTATGCTCATAATGAGAGTAAACATAATCACAGTGGAGTGCGCATTTTACACACAAAGATACGGTGTAATCACATATTCCCACTCTGAACAAAGTACACATGCGCTAATGACGGATGACGTGTTACATTCATGCACAGGTTTGAAAACATGAAACAGACGAAGTCACACAAATCTAATTTGTGTTGCCTGTTTGAACAAAGCCTAATTTTAATGGGTTCCAGCTGTCACCACATGAAAGCTCTGTTGTTAGCTTTATTTGCATGATCCCATATCATTCATATGTGGGATATCATGTTGGTTTTAAGGTCCTGTGTGAGGAGAGCAAAGCATTGAATGCCGGTTTAATAAGTTCTTAAGGAACAGGTTACATTTGGTTAGTTTTGAATATGCCATCAGTTTCCTATCAATCACATGCCACTAGATGGTGATAATAACAGTCATGGGCGAAGAGTGTGGCGAGAACGAAAGCTGCTGTTGCTAGGTGATCCATCTGCACCTGTTCGTCTTGTTACATGGCTGTTCATCACTAATGTTTGTATGCGTTCATCTAGTAAATTACCACTTTTATTCTTCAGTAATATTTGTACTGAAAGAGCTTATTTTCTTGTTGAATATAGACGTACAGCAGTATATTTTTTAAAAGATTATCCATGATTTGTCTTGTATGCTACGTTTGGAAAATATATCAGGAATAAGGTAAACCCGAGTACAAGGACGTGTGAATCATAATTGCACCTCAAAATTAAGAAACCTATTAAAAAATGCTGGGTTGTTTCAACCCATGTTTGGGTCAAATATGAACTAACCCAACTGTTGGTTTAAAAATTTTATTTAAAAATGTAAACCAACGGTTGGGTTAATCTGTATTTGACCCAAACATGGATTATGGATTTTTTATTTTTTTTAAATAATGAAGTTAATGATTAAAAATGAAGGTTATTTTATGATCTTTTTCATTCTTAGGATTTTTAGCATTGTGATATTTTTGTGACAATTAAGGACATTATATTCTACTAATTATATACCGTTTAAACTGTACAGTATTTACTTAGTATTAATTTATCCAGATTCAAACTAAATGTGTTAGAGAAATGGTAAGAATCACCATTGAAAATAATGGGAATGCATACAGTAATGAAAATCATGCAAATATCATTCAAATGTTAATGGTCCTAAAATCGGCTTCATTTGCTTTATATAAAGCATAAATTATCTTGAGATTCTCATCAGCCTCAAGTTCTGACCTCTTTCTTTTCTTTCTGTTCTCAAAACAGCATCAATTCAAACTTCTTGTTGATTAGACCTTTAAAACAGAAAACCGTGCCATGCACGACTTCTGATCTTCACTTCTGCTTCTGCAGTTGTTAAATGTTTTACAGTTACAAGCTTCTCAGATTTGGAGGATCCTTCATGTCTAATCGGAGAGGCTGTTAAAACTGGCCATGAAATGGTTAACCAGAACCCAGCCCCCGAGAGCTCTAATTACTTTCATCCAGTCCTGTAAGGAAGTGTGTTTGCGAAAGATTACAGGAGCCCTTCTTGACCGTGCATGTGAAGGGTTTCGTTCTGCACCCTCATTTGAGAAACCATAGTTTAACAATCGCAACTGCATATTTACGGATCTCAGAAGATCCTGTTCCTTCTCGTCTGTCTTTGTTCTCTCCTCCGTCCCTGTTTCTACATCGTGTTCGTGCTGCTGTCCCTCCCCCAGTCAGTCCGCCATGTTTCTGTCTCTTGTCTCATGCAGATGGTTCTTTGT